AAGCATGCATGTGTGTATGTATGTCGAACTTCTTTCGCACCCTACGTAGCCAACCGTGCTAATCGGAGGTGTGGGGGACGGACAGCAAACTAAACACAAAAAGCAATTCTCAAGAATTGAGTTTTCAAAGTAGAAGTTCATTGTTGGTTCTCTCGTCTCGTGCCACCATAAACAAATAGGTTGAGCCAACGTGACCGACTGATAATAGGGTCCTAATACGCACAAAACCGGTCCACAGTTTTCCGACCTACACTATTATTCGGTTAAAATGGGGTTTTATGGTCATTTACAGATCTAACTTGAGTAACGTGCCTCATATAGGTTTCTGTTCACTATCCATATATGGGTAGAGACTTTTCGAGCAATTTTTATCTCATTCTCATATAATGCAAATACATTAGTGTGGGTGCATCTTATACGTTTGGTATAACTTTAGTGACACACGTGACGAGTCTGTGGTGCGTGTCTTTACTTTCACGAGTACCAATAATCCGGAGAATACGGTAATTTTATCTCAAAGCTGCACGCAAATAATTGGCCGCACGTTGAAATGTGTGGCCCTCTTCAAAACAGCCTTGAGATTCGCCGAGGCTTTTCTGGATGAGTACACAAAAGGACTATTTTTACTATTATTGTAGGTGGTGCGAGTGTGTGTGCTTTGGATGGCAGCGTGGAAAGCCAACTGCGCTCGGGTTTGAATGGAAAAAAAGCAAGACGTGTATAAAAACAACACAACACTCGCTGCGACTTATGAAACAAATATGAAGCCAAATTCCATCTCTGGTCAGGGTTTAGATCTGTGGAGCTTCCCACTTTCTCCGCGACACAAACACGTCAACAGAGCTCTGATTGCCACCGAGGCTTGTGAAGACAGACAGATGACATGTGCGAGCGATGGCAGACACAATCTATTGCCACTTTAGTTCAGTGTCACATTCAATCTCGGCGGCGGCGGAGTCATCGCACGCGTGACACGTGGCGTTGTTGTGTGCGTGTGTTTTTAAACAAGCAAACACGACAGCTGGAGGACGTAGCACATGCACGCGGTAAATCGCCGTGTAAAAAAAAAACAAGGCTGAGAAGAAAAATAAATACGCCAATTTCATCACCTAGATCATGACGAATATGCGACACTTTGTTGGCAGTTGTGGACAAGCACGAATAACAAATTGCAATTACACTCGCCCTGAAGAGGAAAATAACGTGGAAAAAATATTTAGTAGCAGTAGCAGAGAAACAAGGAGAAATGTGACTCGTGCTACTGTTTACACATTGAACCATGAGAGTGTCTTGCAGAAACAGTAACACCGGTAGTGGCAACGGACGAACAGCAAGGTGGCAGACACTCAGAGAAATGCTGCTTGCTGAATTGTAATTAATTTGGGGAGTGTACGTCGGTATGCATCCATAAAAAAACACGCAAAGTTCTGCTTTCTAATTAAAACTCTATCAGTATCGTAAGGGCTGGTGGCCAGGAGTGGTGATGATGCACGTCTGTAAAGCAGTGATTTTGCAGGCAAGGTTCGTGGATCACTGGGGAATTCCATCATCATCTTCATGAGATACCAGGGTCGTTCATATAGGAGGACACACGTGAAGAAAGGTTGCCGAAACTATCTGTGTTAAGTTTAAGTGTTATTCCTTCACGTGTCTGGGGTTTCCCTCGGAACTTCATATCCATCCCAGAGCAAGCAAAGATACTCAAACATAAGAAATGGCCAAACATATGTCGTGAAGATCCTTTCGGATACTCGTATTTTGAGTAAAAAAATACACCGCACACAGACACATATAGCATTTGGCCTTATAGACCACAAGTGAAAGTAGCGTTAGCAAGACTTAAATAAGGCCAGCATGAGGCCAGTACCATGACCACCTTTGTCTCTGTCGTGCTGTTGTTTACACATTGCACCAGGTATACATTTTGTAGTGGACTCAACTCTGGAGATGCCCAGGACAGGTTCAGATATCACCAGGCCACTGATATTATCCTTCGTCAGGAATGGAACCCAAGATACTTGCATTGTAGGACATTCCACAGACCAATGCACCATCACTCCACACAGAACCCCCATACAGCCTCCAACAGACTGTTGCGGCAAGTGCTGTTAGCGAGCACCTATTAAGGCCGGTGGGGCGCCTCGTTTGATTGCTGCTTTTAATTGTTACACACCGCACCAATTATTCATTTGAAGCTGAGTCGACCTAGGGGAGGCCCAGGACCGGTTCAGATAATTGTCACTGGGGTTGTCCGTGAGTGGGAATCAAACTCGGGTCGCCAGGTTCATAGCGCAGTGTGCTAACTATTACACTACCGCTCCCCACATACACACACACACTCCCATACAAGCACACACACACACAAACAAGACAACACTGCACTGTTTATTAGACTATGATATAAAGTGATGTTTATAGTGATAAATACTTCTGTTGGAAATCTGCATTTTTCCCACTGTAATAAATTATTCCTGTCAATGATACAAGACATGAACATCAAATATATAACATTTATGGTCATGGAAAGTGTTTACGACGGATAACATAATGCACTTTCCTGGAGGGAGCCTTAAAAAATATCCATTAAATCGCCACTAAGAACGGTCATCGGTTAAATTAAATAAACGCACTACCCATTAGTTCAGTGAAGAGAATAATCTGCAGCCAACAATTAGAATGGAGACAGTCTGAATCATGTTGAACTGCTGAAAGTGTTGATGGTGTGTGTGTGCGTGTCGTTATTCGGGGGTGTGATAGTGCAGCTGTGAGCGCGCTGCGCTACGAACCCGATAACCCGAGTTCGATTCCGGCTCGCGGCAAACACCAATGATGATATTCATAACCGGTCCTGTGCCTGTCATAGGTCAGCTCAATCTCAAATGAATACTGGTGTGGTGTGTTAACATCACCGCTAGGGAGACAAAGGCTCCCAGGTGCGGTGCTGGCCACCCACCCCCACATGTGCCGTGACGGCCTTCATAGGTGCTCGCTTACAGCACTCGCCCCAACAGTCCGTTTCGGCTCTACGGGAAACTGTGAAATAAATGTAAGGAGCACGCGAATGGCTTTCCTAGAGGTCTGCTGGTTGTAGCCTCGTGGTCAGAAGCTTCAGCATTAAACGGGTTGGCACTCCATTGACGGTTAAATTTCCACGACAGCTGTAGACCTTTTATTTAGCAAATTACACAAAGTGCTGTTTCCTGTGACGTCGACGTTAATGATTAAGTTTCATTCTTAAGTCAAGTTTCAGTTGCAATTTCAAGTAAATTTCGACTTGTGAAATAATATAACACTTGTCTGTGTTGTTTATACGAATGCCATATTTAACAAGGGCAGGCCACTGCATGGCAGTGAAATTGATCATTTTAATCCTCAAATATTGCATTTTGCCAAGGTAAGTGATAGACCAAATTTAATACAAGTTTTTTTTTCAATGTTGTTTTGTGCAATCACCATTGACCGGGCTGAGACCATCAACCCGCTCCACTAGAAGACGCGGATTTTAATCACGGAACTCAAAGGAACCATCACCGGTTGTATTGGTCCAGTGTCACATGACTCCCCGAGCCACGCACAGCCACCCACTGGAGTGGATTATCACAATTCTGTAACGCCACTTCACGTCGCAAGCACCGGCGTCGTGTTTCGTGGGTTCTGAAGCCATCTCCAATTCACAGAAGCCACAAAACAAACGTTTTAAACTACTCTCTATTAAAAGCTACACAACAACAATAATAATATCGGTGAAGTATGAAGATTTCCCAGCGGCGTGTCGGTGGAAATTGAATTATTTTCGTGAAAATATTCACGCACAAGTACATTCACACCTAATATAGGTGTCTGTACTATACGTGTGTTGTTCAAGAGTTTCACGTTGATTGCGATGTATGTGTGTGATTGTGTGGGGGACAGATGCAAATATCTACACACGCACGTGCAAATTGTAAGAATATGTTTAAAATGTTGGGCACATAATGCCTCGTGTGTATATGCTGATTTCATCAGTTTCTACGAGTTTGTCGAATGAGGGTCAGTGTGTTAGGTTTTTCTTCCTGTAGAAATTAATTCCCTTTGACAAATGTGGTGTACATTGTATCAAGGATGACCGTTGGAACGTTATGGGACCAAGACATGAGTTGGTCAATGTAGATCGTTATAATTTATTTGTGTTGTATGAGAATGTCCAGAGGTAACACATTTCTAAGAACGCAACAAAATCCTTTGATTACCCAGCATCTCGTTGAGTTACATTTGCCATGAATTTATTCACTTATGAAATAATTACGATGTTAAATTGACTTAAAACAACACATCGGTATAATGTCTTAGACTATTCTACTATGCACGGTTATTTAATTGAGCAGTAATGCCATGAGTACAATAATGGTAACAATCACAATTGGGTAGGAACGATTTTAGTAATTGGTGAATATGATCTCATGGCTTGCTGATGATGACCAACATGCTGTCGATGATGAATAACGATGATTAATCTGACAATCACGACGGTAATAATGCACATCTTGTTCATAATTATGACGATCACAAGGCTTATGTTGATGCTCACAAGGATTCATTATGATAATTCCCACAATACTTCACAACGACGATGCGATTGATTACACTAATCTAGTGATGACTTTATCACATCACAATGACGACACCCACCGTAATATTCGACAGCGCCGACCATGACACTGATCTCCATACCACTCCGTGACACCACAATGACCAAGACGATTAGCAGCAGGACAACTGACAATGAGGACGACGGCGATGATGATTACGACAGCCACCACGACGGCGATGATGATTACGACAGCCACCACGACGGCGATGATGTACGTTGAACCTCTTTCGCACCTTACGAAGCCAACCGTCCTAATTGGGGGTGTGATGATGACGACGATCGTGACGCCCCACGATGTTTTATAGGCCGGCTGTCTGTGCGCCCGCCTGGCTCAAGAGAAGCGCTCGCCTCTGACCGACGTGCTACTCACAGGCTGCAGGGGAGTCCTGGGTTCTGAGGGCCGCATGTGGAGGTGGGCCATCATGGCCTGCAGCCTCTCTCGCTCCTTCTCCAGCTGCGGGGGCCAACGCACAACACAGCCGTCAGCCATCAGCCACCGCGCACGCAAATCAAACTGAAAGGCCCCCTTTCCTAAATAGCGTACGGCTCCAAATAACATCATCTCGTCATGCAATTTTAAAGCCCAGTAAGACAGATCTGATAAATATTTTAACAAACAGTTACTTACAGAAAGCTATTGCTTATTCATAGCGCCTTTCTTCAAGAAAGGCAGGCTTGCATCAACCTGACAAAGGCTGCTGTGTGTTTTAGCAAAGGTTACAGATACAAATTGCGCCGCATTATTTTTCTGGTCGCATTTTTTTTAGGTCAGCAAAATGTTAAATATGAAGAGGAAAAAAATGCGCACAAGTTACCAATAGCGAAGCTTTTAGGAACCAAACTCGAGCCCTGGGGATGGCGTAAAGGATTTGTTTCCGTGAGCACTCCAAAGGAACACGGATTTTTTGTCTCTTTTATTCAAAGTTGTTCCTTTAACTGCTGCCACCAGGCCATCACGATTTTTTGATGTGAAATATTTCCGAGTTATAAATGCCCTGCATATATTGCATATTTCAGGGAGCTAAAGTGTATCATATGCTTTTGCTTAGCATGCCATGTCATTCCTTGGGAGTGCCTTTATTAGATTATGCCCGCAATATTAACTGTCCCCAGCAAAATGTCAGTCTTGAAATATTCCAGGGCTTACGGCGAAATTCCGCTGAATTATTTTTGGGAAACAAAATATATAGCGCGTCGCTTTCACATTTGATTTGCCCGCCATTGCCTGGGACACTTAAACGTAATGCACAGCCGTCGTGACGGGCACAGAAAGGGCCGTCTCCTGCAACGCAACGTGAAGAGGCCCACGCGTGGCAAATTAAGTGTCGACCGTATACGTAACGGACGCACACAACATCGCGCAGCGGTTCGATGTTTCAAAGAGCAGCGGCGCAGGTTGCAGCGCGGCGTTTTAAAATGACGACTGCGTCGATGACCTATTTTGTTCATTACGCGTCAGTCAAACACTGACCCCTTTTTTAACAGTTTTGAAGTTTTTTGTTGTTGAAAGGATGGCTTTTGTTGGAGTGACTTGTATGCACAGTATTATGAATAACAAAACCTGCTGACCTTGTCAGCAAATCATTATGGAAAGAGGAACAACACGTGTGAGAAATTTGCCGATTTTTCGGTTTGTTTGAAACAGGTTTGTTCCGAATCCAAAACACGTGAAGGAGAATGATAGCTCGTGAATATTTTAAACGTATCTGTCACATCAATGCTACGATTAATAACATCACTGTCATGATTAGGATTTGTTTTTAACGAAGGATTTTTCTTCTTTCAAAAAGCACACTTTGCAGAGAGAGAGATACCAACATGGCTGCAGAGTGGCCAGGCAGCCGCAGCATGAGGATTGTGTTTGCAAGGAGGGACAGGCAATGGGCCACAGCCCCAAACCCCCATGCGCTAATCTGTTTCTGCGTTCATCTGCCGCAGGCCCTCACCGCAATGCAAACGCTGACGCGGAATCTCACCTGTATCTCCAACTGCTGCACCACTTGCATCTGCACCCGGCACTGGGCCGTGCTCCGATCGTCCAGAGCGTGCTCGTTGTTGAGGTGCCTGCGTGCGAAACGAGACGCAACATCTATCATTTTTTTTTCTTTCTCTGAACATCAACAACATCAACGACATTTGGCGACAGGGCAGCGTCGGCATGGAGACGGAGCTACGCATCTCCGGCTCTCGCATCCCCTGCCAGGCTGCGCTTCGTCGCCCCGGGACCTGGGCACTGCCAGCGTCCCACGCCGAGGGGCCTCGAGACGCTCCGGACGCGATGCGAACGGCGCGCCCATCACCATCGCGATTCGGTGGTCCGACTCTGCCACAAACGTCGTCCCGTGGTCCCGTCGTCCCGCACCGGTCTCCCCCACCGCAGAGGACCTGCTCGCCCGACACCGCCGTCTGGGCCCTGTTTGGACGCGCGGCTCAACTTCGACCCGGACGTGTTCCGGCTCGCCTCGCCTCACCCCCCACGCGCGGTCCAGCGTCGAGAATAGATCCGGAACAAAACCCGAGTGCACGTGGGCTCTCCCGCTCAAGGGGACTCGACTCGACGCTGCTCACGGATCATCGTCGCACCCGACGATGCGGACATGAAGTGTATCCAGGAGACTTGGCGAGGTTGTCTACGTAAGGTGCGAATGAAGTTCAGCATGCATGCATAGGGGGTGCAGGACCGTGACACCTGGAGGAACATTTGATGCGGCCTATTGACGGCGAAGCGACTACGACGACTGCTACTGCAGTCACCTCCTACAGTTGTGGCCCATCTCTTCCCTGTCACACTTCTCTCGCTACTACCATGGCTACTTTTCCCGTAGACTTTGCTCCATGATTCCTCTGCCATGTTGAGGGCTCAGTCTACCAAAGTGACTCTTTAGGCTCATCCGCACTGCCACACACACTCTAAGACACACTCGCCAGGCACACACCACACGTACACTCCACACGTACACTCCACACGTACACTGCACACGTACACTCCACACGTACACTCCACTCGTACACACCACACATACACTCTACACTCCACTCCACTCATGTCTTAACTGGCTTCACTACAATGGGGCTCGTTCAAGTTGCGTAAACTTGAGCACGATGCTCTCCGTCAACTGAGAGGCCAAACTGTGCTGGCGATTATAGAATCAGCCTCCGCTGCATTACGCGTCGCTTCGCATATACGTTGTTGATTAAGTAGGGGACGTATTTCCTGATCAGTGTAATGTTTCGCTATATGTGAAAGATGACACTTCTAAGGCACCTGCCTGGTGACCTGATTGTAACTAGCAGCGTAATGTCCAATTGTTACATGTGCGGGGATTTCTCTCCAGCTCACTGGCGCGGAGTGCTGGAACGTTTGTCCACGTGGACATTACTAATTGGCAGTGTCGGGTGGAGGAGTGTTCACAACACACACTTTACTCGCGCAATCCAATTCCAAAAATAAATTACGAATCGTAATATCGGTCGTGAAAAGCCCGCTACGCGTCAAAGGAAACATCCTTCAGAAGCAGCGAATTTATAGAGCTGTGCAAAGTCTCGCCAGGGTCACGAATGAGAAACTTCAGATTCCGGGTAAAATGCCAACGGCTTCCAGCAGCCAAACTAAAGTAACTTATCAACGATCCCTCAGAGGAGTGCCGGGAGACGCACCCTGAACCGACTTGGGCGTCTCTCTCGCTCGCCGATGATCGACGTTCACGCGAAGATGCGCGCTGCGCGACCCCATGAGCGTGCGGAGTTCCGCGAGGTTCCATGAATAAGGCGACACAGTCGTGTCAGGCTACAGGAAACCCTGAACAACAATCGCGCGCACAGTACCCGGACTCTCTCTCTCTCTAAGGCGATGGATCTGGTCCAGGTGAAGAGAGCGACCTCCAACGATAACACGCGCGGAGCGTTGGAAGCCGTTAGCATTGGACAGCAGCCACCGCTTGGCGTGGTCTGTATCCCACTCTGACCCCGTGCCCACGTCCCCCCAGGGCGTCTCGATGAGGGCTTGGAGCCTGAACGGAGTAAAGTTGCACTCGGGGGCTCTTTATATATTAAAAACAAACTTGAGAAATTACCTACAAATCAAATTGAGTGGGGTGCGGAGAGGGGGGGAGGGGTCGGGGGGGGGGGGGGAGGCTCGCCACCACCCCGCAGTAAAGCGCCGGCTATCAACGACGAGCGGGGAGAGTTCACGCGGCACACGCAAGGGCGGGATGAGCACAGGAGGCGGGCGGCTCCTGGTCAAGCTCGTCCGTGACCTCCGACGAGTGGGGTGCAGCTTCGTGCGTCGACATGCGACGCGCTGGAACATGAACTTTACTTGGCTGCAGTGCCGAGCGAACGGAATGGGTTTTATCCTCCCTGCTCCGATGTTGCATGGCTCTCCTCCCCTTGCCTCGGCGTTCCACCCTCGCCGTGCGCCGTGCGCCAGCGGACGGGGACATCGACGCGACGCTGCGTTGCGCGAAAACGCTACAAACTCCGCACACTGAAATTCCGCACACTGCAACTCCACGTAAATATTGCACACCTCGTCCCCCTGCGGAGACACAACTCGGCCATGTTTCGTGGGCCATCCGACACATTTTCTCACTTCGTTATGAGAAAGTCGACTTTAGGGTTACGCACAGGTGCGCAAATCACTGAGAAATCACAATCGCTGTGATGGATGGCATGAGTTGCATGCAAACTCATCGCATCATCACAGTGCATCATCACACTTGTATGCAAACTCACAGCATCATTACAGCGATGTCATGTCTCCGTAATTGCACCGTGAAGATGTTGATGATGCGATGATTGTATGCGTCACTGTAATGCTACTCACACACGAACGCAGGTCACGTCACAACACTGGTATGGCGATGCGCCTGACTGTATTTTAAAAGTCGTTCTTTTTTTTATTATATTTCAAAGCTTCAAACGTGTGTTGGAAAGCCGCAGACAACACAGCTCAGAAGGGTAGCTACAAGACAGGAGCTGATGGCGACGTAGTTTAGTTGATTGTCTATCGCGTGAGAACTCGGGAGACGTGCAAGTCTAATTTAAACAGGAAGTTGGGTCACGACTCGAAAAATGACAAAAAGCAAACAAGCGACGTGCAGCAATGAGGCGATAGAAATCAGCACAGCAAACAAAAACAACTGCGCACGTGAGAAATAAAAAAAAAATGCGCAAAACATAAAATCGATGTTTCGGATCAAAGGTTCAGTACTAAAGTCCCTGCAGCACGATTCTGGCAAGCGCCAGGTTTCCTCCACATTGATCGCAGCCCAAACACGCAAACTTGGGAGCTGCAGTAAAGGCTCAAATGTAACACTCAAGCACGACGGCTTCCCTTTGTTGTTTCCCCGGAATAAGAACGTCCGCTGGCGTAAAAACGCCGTCAAATTCAGATTGTCCCCCTGCCTCAACGAGCAACGGGGGCCCCTGAGCCAGCGGTGGACATTCCACGTTCCCGTGACAGGGGTCGTGGGTCTCTCCATACGACGACCGCCGATGACTTTCCCACGAAGTTTGCGACACGGAATCCGCACACGAAGGGGTTGGGACAGAGACGCCTGGTCACACCGCTCGCGTAATGCTGCCTGGAGGGCATCGGCGTGATCTCCCTCTCCCAGCTTGGCGTCTCTTCCAAACAAGCCCCTGACGCTCTCCCGGGGCTCCACTCGAGAGGGAATGTTGGACATTAGACACAGCATTAGTGTCGCCTGTGCACACGGAGCAACACTTACTTAAAACTGAAAATGCAAAACGAAGCCTAAAAAGTACTTAACATGTAAATAAATACTATGTTTGTGCGTAGCCGTTAATGCGCTGCGCTACGGACTCAGCGAGCCGAGTTCAATTCCCACTAAAGATGATTTCCTGCATTTTCTGAACCAGTCATGGGCCTCCCCTTGGCTGAGTCACCCACAAATGAGTACCTGTGGCAATGTGGAAACATCAGCACGGGGGAGCCAAAGGCGGCCAGGCGTGGTGCTGACCACCCACCCCCTCGTGCGCCGTGCCGGCCTTCCTAGGTGCTACTCGCTAAGGGCACTTGCCCCTACAGTCTATAAAGGTTACCTTTGCCTTTGTGTATGAGTACATGTGCATCCATTTTGTCAATCCACTGCTGGATGAGGGTCACGCCGTGCCGTGCTAGTTCTTGAGATTATATGACCATACTTCACCCTGCTGGTCAGTGGGGGTGGGGGGCTGGTGAAGGTCGGTCGCACACTTGGGCACAAAGGACTACAGTACAACATCGGAATGTTTCTGTGCTGCCCTCTGCTGCTCAGACACACAGCCCCGCAAGCCCTATGACAACCTCCTCTTCAGTGGTCGCTGCCCCATCCAAGCATTGTCCACACTCAA